ACACGTGAGAAGCAGGGAGGCTCTGGACTGGTTCGAGAAGGAAGACACGCAGTCCAAGCACACCCACCACCCACCCTACAGCCCTCACCTGTATTTCAATAGCAGCTTCAGCACAATGGAGCGGATGACAGGCGTCTTGTCCACCACGTCGTCGAACGGCGAGAGCGATTTTGTGTACACAGCCTGGTGCTCTGCACGCAGGGGAAAGAAAGAGCACATCTCATGGGCTTGAGAAAGGTGAGAAGACATGTTCAGCGTGGGGGCTGAGCCCAGCAGGGAGGACAGGACTTACCCATCATACCAACTGTGAAAGGCTTCCGGTGAGCAAACAGCAGCCCTAACAGCCCCTCAATCACGTCCTTCTCTGGCGGTTCATTGTCCTTGAAGCACATGGTGGAAACCAGGTCTATGAAGAAGCTGTTGCACATCTGCCGAAACTTGGCGTTCTTCTGGATAGCGTCACTGAGGAAAGGGCGAGAGAAACAGGGTCACCGAGATACCCGGACAGCCGCAGGCCTAGTTCAACCGCACTGTGGGTAAAGCCAAGACGAACACGAGGAGCAGGGAGAATTTAACTGGCAACACAGGATTCTCCACGGTCAAATGCAAGTTTCAAACCAAGAGAATTCACAATACACAGCAGAGGAAAACGAATCATGATCATGATGGCCTTAGCTAGACCATTCTTTGGGGATGAAGATCAGGGTCTCTTAACATGACTATGTGTCTGTTGATACAGGGGGAACGACACTGGTTTTTATGGGACAGATGAAATACCTGAGTGTCTTGGAGACGGTTACATTATAGGCATCTGGGAGGTTGACTTTGCAGTATGGACAGATCATCTGGCCTGGTGCTAGCCACTGTTTGATGCAGTTCTGGCAGAAGACATGATCGCATGGCAGCTTGACGGGATCCTGGGGGTCTCCCAGGCAGATCGGACATGGCGTCAGACCATATCTGCAATACACAGCATGGCTAAACTCAAGCAGTCCAGACACAAGCCTCCAAGTCTCCTACTGCAGCTCAGAATGAGGAGAGAAGGCAGCTTGGGTCTTGCCAGCTCCTCTTGGAGCTGCGAATAAATCTGGGGCATTGAACCGCTACCTGCAAGCAAGAGCAGCTACTTGCCTACAGGAACTGCAGTTCCTACAGAGGTGTTGCCCACGGACCGTACTCTTGGGGAACCTGTCTCATGCAAGTGGTACAGGATGCTTTTGGAATA